GCATATGGAGGTCCCTTTAAAGCAGCCCACTCTAGCACAAAGATGGATACACTTTGAGAAGTTCCCTATTTTTCGTGCAGACCTCGTTGCCAGACGTATCTCGACCGGTTTTGGTAATTTCCTTATTTGTGGTTTATTGTACGTTTTTATAAACATATGTAATCTAACAAAACCCAACTTAACCTAACGTAAATTAACTTCACCAGATTTAAAAAAAAAAATCATTTGAGAAAAAAATAGTGAGGTTAAGTAAGAAGATATAAACAAAGTTTTCCAATGGGCAACGGTAAACAATATGATGTTCAATGAGGACAAATTCCAACTACTCCGTTATGGAAAACTGGAGGAGATAATAACTAGAACAGAGTATACTACTGACTCCGGCCATACAATAGAGCGGAAAACTAATGTAAGGGACCTGGGAGTAGTAATGTCTGAGGATCTCACTTTCAAGGATCACAACAGTGCCACGATCGCACGTGCAAAGAAAATGATAGGATGGATAATGAGAACGTTCAAAACGAGAGATGCCAAGCCCATGATGATCCTTTTCAAATCACTTGCTCTCTCTAGGCTGGAATACTGCTGTACATTAACATCTCCATTCAAAGCAGGTGAAATCGCAGATCTAGACAGTGTACAGAGATCCTTTACTGCACGTATAAGTTCTGTCAAGCACCTTAACTACTGGGAACGCTTGGAAGCACTTGACTTGTACTCGTTGGAACGCAGGAGGGAGAGATATATCATAATCTACACTTGGAAAATCTTGGAAGGAATGGTCCCAAATCTGCACACAGAAATCACTCCCTACGAAAGTAAAAGACTGGGCAGGCGATGCAAAATGCCCCCAATAAAAATTAGGGGCGCCAGTAGTACACTAAGGGAAAACACCATAAGTGTCCGGGGCCCAAGACTGTTCAACAGCCTCCCACCAAGCATTAGGGGAATTGCCAATAAACCCCTGGCTGCCTTCAAGAGAGAGCTGGACAGATACCTAAAGTCAGTGCCGGATCAGCCGGGCTGTGGCTCGTACGTTGGACTGCGTGCGGCCAGCAGTAACAGCCTAGTTGATCAGGCCCTGATCCATCGGGAGGCCTGGTCATGGACCGGGCCGCGGGGGCGTTGATCCCCGGAATAACCTCCAGGCAACCTCCAGGTAATACCGACAAGATGAAATTAAGACACATGTGCAACATCTGGGTATCTTTATTGTAGACGTTTCGCCATCCAGTGGCTTTATCAATACAAATTCTAGGACATAACTTGCAGACAGTAGAACTATGTACAGAAGATGAGGTAATCAGTCCCTCAACCTAGGAGTAGGTGAGAAGAGCACCATAGTCGTGGAGATTTTTTTTTTTTTTCACAGTGAGGTTAAGAACTGGACGTGAAACACCACCTCCAAATATTTACAAAATAAAATAGTAATGTGTTGCAGAGAGCAATGGTTCTGTACTTAATTGCCATTATATTGGATGGGAGGGCGTTAAAAACTCGAGGAACCTTTACAGTTTACATTAATCGAGTTATCTTTTAGCGTTCTTATTGCACTGGTGCTATTTCTTGTGATGCATTCTGCAGAGCTTCCTGCTCTGGTTGTGATTAATTCCAGTGTGCAGTGAGGCTGCTTGTAGCATGGAGATGCAGTATTGTGTAATAAGATATCTGGTATAAACTTTGGTAATGGATACCGACAAATTGGTTTAGAAAGACATGAACAAACACTAAGACATTGATTAGAAAACGTTTCGGTTCTGGGACCTTGATCACTTCTGACATACTGTCTTTTTAACCTCTTGTGTGTTAAAAGTGATCAAGGTCCCAGGACCAAACCATTTTTCTAATAAAAATGTCCCAGTGTTTGCTCACGTGTCTTTCTAAATCAATAAGATGTCTGTCCGAAATTGCATTTTGCCGCCCAACCGGCTATTTTTTTTGTGTGTGTACGTTCCTTGTCCATCCCGTGAAGGGTAATGCCAGACCATATGACACCACAGTGACCTAGGAACTTAGTTCTTAAAAGAGTTAATAATGAATATACCTGGATGCATTGCCCACATGCTCACCATACCTTGGGTGCTCACCGTGCTGTGTATGAAGAGACACAGGTGCGATCCTTAACAGTTCTTGGGATGTTTTGGATCGCATTAAACTGTGTGTCTTTCCATCGAGTCGGTGTTTTATACCGCTATTCTCACCGTGTTGTGATGGAGTAGGAGGTAGTTTACTAGGCGCCACTGAACTGCTTTCATTGTCATGCAACATTATGTAAAATCTCTGTAAGATATTTGAAATTGACTTTGTTCTTTCTTCCAATACAGTGTGAAGCTCTCACAAGTTCACTGCTGCTGACGCTTGATGCTGGTTAAGGGCTGTTTATCCAGGGAATTAGAGCTACCTTTATCTTCCTTCCGTCAGACTTGATTACCACCCATCCCTCAGGCACTATATGATCCCTACTGGTTTAGCGCTTTCCGTGAATATAATAATAATAATAATAATAATAATAATAAAAACGTTCAGAGTTGTGCAACAGGAATAGTCATTTAAATATCCACACACACACACACACACACACACACACACACACACACACACACACACACACACACACACACACACACACACACACACACACACACACACACACACACACACACACACACACACACACACACTGACGAAAGGATATTTTAGCCATGGTGATGTAGACTGGGACAATTGAGACCCACGTGGAAGCTCAATATCATGGAGGAACACCCTGCTTGTTTCCACAACGATTTTTTAATGCCAGTTTTTAATTAAGGATCCAACGCAGTTAAGAGGGAATGATTGATCCGCAAGGCTGAACCTTTTCACCTCCGACCAGGCTGGTATAGAAAAAATGAAATGTCCATGAAGGATGTTTTGTTTAATAGAGGATTTCATGGTTTTTATAAATGAACAAGGGCCAGTACCAGAAGGCAATAATAAATCAAATGTAGAACTGTCAGTCATGGAAATAATTAATGAAGAAGTGAGGGGAATACTGATTTCTTTGATACTTTAGGTGAATCAGGACAACATGGAATATCAACATGAATGTTACAAAATAGCTGGAATGCTATTCAGGTCACTTGCAAGTGAAGTGTCAGACACATTCAAGATGGTAAATGTGATACCGGAATTCAAGAATGGTGACAGACAGGGGGCCATAAACTACAGACCAATGCCCTTAACCGAGTGTAGTTTGTAGTGTTCGAAATGTAAGGGGGGGACGGACATGTAAACATCTAGAAAGCACTAGATTCCTTACACATCACTAGCCTGGATTCAGAAAAAGGTCATGTCTTAGAAATCTCTTAGATACATCATATATTAGCACCTCTAGAAATTTGAAGAATCAACCTCCCTCGCCAACACCTGGATAGGTGACTGCACTTAGATATAACTTAATCAGTGTGAATGGTTTAAGGTATCAAAACTTTCTTCAGATACAAGGGAAATTGTCAGTATTTCTCTGAGAGAACTTGACAAGTTCCTTTAGAAGTTTTTTTTTTATCATCAGGCTCGGTGGTGCTTACACTGGTCTGCTTGCGGTTAACACCAGTAACCTAAATGTTTAGGTTGTCAACCAGGAGACCTTGTCCAGGTCCGGGGACGATGATCCCCGGAACCATCAAGAGGCAGTGACTGTGTGGGCAGGTATGGTGGTGGTGGTGGCAGTGACAGTGTCCTCCGAGGTCTATATTTGCCACAGTGCACATGCATGATCCATGGCAGTAGTCCAAACTGCCTCGCTTACACTCTCTCCGGTACCTTGAATTCTCAAATTTAACCTAATAGACCTTTGGTGGAATTAACATATTTGTATCTGCCTGTGGCGATGTTATGCAACTTAAAAGATGCTTTTCGCATACTTCTTGAGAAACAGTAAAAGGAAAGTGTAGGCATTCCCCTGATGCGATAATTTATGCATGTGTGGGTGCGCTCTTGTGCCCAACATCTTGAAAAAGCCTCTTCGGATTGATTTGTATCTCACGACATGCGTATAACTTAAGAAAACAAAGATTGAGACAATATTCGAGTGGTGTTGCCCTCTGGTGGCAGTTTTTATAAAAATCATACAAGGGTCACATTAGATATCGTCAGAAAAGGAATATATGATGGGGTTGGCCGAGTTTCTTTTTGTGAACCATCTTTTTTTAAAGCGGCAAAATTTTGTAATAAAAATAATTGAGAATATTACTGTCTTTGGTGGGGATGGCGGTACCGACGCAACATATCAGTTGTTTTTATAGTGAAGCAACAAGGAACAAGTTGTATATTGTGGTGTGCAGACAGTTCTTTGAGAATCGTCTCTCTCAACACCAAAATACTTTTTTTTTTAATTTATAAAATAAGATGAAACTCAGTTTCTAGCGCACTCAGCTCACACACATTGAGGTCCGTGGTTCGATCCACGATACGGATGGGAACAGGCGTGTTTCGTTAAGACACCTGCTGTCCCTGTTTCCCTAGCAGGTACCTGGGTTAGTTGTTAGCCGACTGGTGTGGGTCGCATCCTGGGGACAAAACTAACCTAATTTGCCCGAAATGCTCAAACAAGAGGTTTTCTGTATAGTATGTCATTGATGTCATCTAAGTTTGCATAAGTTGTGCATGTAGAAATAGAGATTATTATTATTATCAGTATTCTTGCCGGCTATGTGAGCTGGGTGGAAAGATGATGGGGAACTGGATTGAACCTGAATGCCTCCCACTAACCTCCCTTCTCCCTCCCCGTCTCTGCTGTATTTGTGTCTGTCTCTGCCTCATCCATCTTTCCCGTCAATTCCTTTTTCATCTTTAATATACCTTAACTTACTATATAGACCTTATGTAACTTTAACAAGAACTGTAGTGTGTGAGAATTTAGATGCAAGAATGAAAAGGCACAATACTGTGACTGGAGAGAAGCTTACGACGATGTTTCGGTCAGACTTGGATCATTTAAGTATGACTTAAATGATTCAAGTAGGACCGAAACGGCGCCGTAAACTTTTCTCTCCGTGCAGGTTATTTGTGTATAGTTGCAAGTAAGTTCGTTTTACGACGTTACAGCTTTGTGACATCTCTTCTGTACTTCAATTTTTACAAGTTAAATAATATTTTTCTAACTTAGGTTTTCATTCCTTAACTTTAACCTGTATTTACGTGTAGTTAACTTCCATTAAGCAAATTTCATAAAAGGAAGGGTAACATCAGGCAGAGGGGAAAGGTAAACATCGACGATTAAATAGTTGGAAACCACACGCTCGGTATTTACGGTAGTGGACGAGTTGGGCGGCGGATTTGAGTGATGTGGTGCTGGATGAATGAGCAGCTGGAGCGGTCCGTGTGGTATTGTGGTGGCCTGGCCGGTCCAGCTACCTCCTCGTACCCATTACCATACACCACCCTTCCCCCTCACACACACACACACACACACACACACACACACACACACACACACACACACACACACACACACACACACACACACACACACACACACACACACACACACACACACATACACACACACACAAACAGGGCCAGGACCTGTGAATCGATCCCTGGAACCACATATAAGTGAGTACACATACACACACACCCACACATACAGCGAGTATGAGGAGCGTGATGGATGGTGGTGGTGGGTGTCGAGGGTCAGGTGGTGAGGGTAGCAACAAGGGCCTTGGGTGAGAACTGTGCTTGCTGCCTGGCTGGCTGCCGGGGACCGCCCTTCCCTCCCTAACTCCTTCCACTCCCCCCCCCCCAAACTAGTGATGCTACTACCTTTTGTAATCTCCACCACCACTCTCACGGTACCTGTTACCGTACTCTCACCGTATAGTATACAGGAGGCGTCGATATTTAGCTTGTTCCCGATACTTTTTTTATGTGGTTTTTATTTAGCAAAATTGGATACATCAGCAATGTGTTGCTGATTTCATATATAGTGCGGAAATCTGTCAGCCTGAGATAGGAAACTTCAGTAGAGCAATGAGGATATCGTTAACTATTACATTTAAGGTTCATCAGCTACGGGAGCTTCATAGGTTTCGTTCCATCTGAACTGGAGTTACTATTACTCGAGAATGACTATCTCTCAGGATGGCCAACAAGATTCTACCCTCGCTATCCCTTCTGGCAACCCTAACTTTAGGTTAAGATATAGAAACAGATGACATGTTAAAAGTACAGAAGCACTGATCCTTTGTGTCACTTGATCATAATACCCGAGGGCAATGAGACTTCTCTTCATCACAGGATGACTCAATTATCAACAACAATAATTCATGTTTAGCACTAAACCCATGTGGGTCATTCAGCGCAAGACGTAGAAGAGGACTCTAACACTGCCACTTAATATAATCACTTAGTAATCAGTTAATTATTAATTAGTCAAGAATTAGCCAAACAGGAGTTAAATTGAATAGACAAATATTATTTTATTTACTGTATAAGTACGGAACTACACATTAATTCAGGAAAGTCATTGAAGGAAATATAATATTAATACTGAAGAGGAATAAAACTGCAGTGAATCACTATTCAGACTGAAATATAACTTATAGTGATGTGAAACCCGATAAGTGTTCCAGCTGTACACACAGCCCATAGTTCCAATATGAAACAAGAGTCCTTGGTTCCACACAACAAATATAACTCACTTGGCCGAGTACTTCTAGTAATAAAAGTCACACTTCTAGACTAAGGTCCCAAGACCTTACAGAGAACTCACTCCCCCAGCTCTGTCTCCGGCAGAAACAGCTATGCATGCATGCACAAAGATATGCATATACATGAGTAAGTATGCAGAACAACCATTGTGAAAAGAATAGTGAACTTCCAAGCTCTTTCGTGATTTCTCACATTATCAAGGAACTGTGATAATGTTCATTAAAGTTCATTGTTCTTTTCACAGTGGTTGTTCTGCATATTGTGATATCACCTGTTTACTGTGATCTCAATGCACGAATATGTATATGCACATATACATACAAACATTATATATATCATATAATCGACAAGTGTAGTTCCAGACGGGCTGGCATATTAAACTTTAATTAACAGTAGGTTAGGTTACCTGTAGTCGATACATGTTTAAACAGTTCTGCCATGCGAGTTCCTTATACGTTAAATTGAAGGTTTTACCCTTCACATGCTAATTCAACCCGGAATCTCTGGTGGTGCCTGGTCGTGTAGGACTAATTTCATCTTAAGTCACCTTTCATGCTGACAGCCTGGGAGATTATGCAGTGCCGATTATATTTTCAATAAAACTAACCTAGCAGCTTAAAATTTGCGACATAAAATAGTTTAATTTGCTAAAAGCATGTGAGAATTTGCTTAATTTTAATTAATTTCTTTTGAGGAATCATTTTTTTCAGGTGACCTTCATCATTTTGTTCACTTCAGTCTGAGCTGAATATACTTTATAACTGCCTGTCATATATTGAACCACCACTAACAGAAACTTGAACAGTGAACAATTTCCTTTACAGGGTTAATAGTCGAGAGATTGAACTACTAATCTAAAATTACTCTGCAGTTGAAACTTATGCGAGCTGGTATCAAAGAGTAATGGAATATGTGCCGTCAACCTGGTACAGAATTACCAAGAAACAATCCTTGATAATAGATGAAAATCAAATGATAGTGAATGTTGAAAATAACGCTCAAGAGGTTATAAAACGGGAATCATATTAGACTTCCTGCCATACATTACTCTTCACTGCCAGAACAGCCTTCGCTTCAGTGGTGCACTATTTTGTCTCGTTCGTAGCCTCTAGTTGTGTTTGCAGGAGTCGATCTACAGTTCCTGGTTCCGCCTTTTTGACTCTTATTGACCAGATTTACTGATCCCTGGCCTCCAGGGTCTTATTATATCTACTCTTGAAACTTTATTGATCACCTAGTGCAAGGCTGTGTGAAGGACTGATAAAAGTGAGCTTGGCAAGCACATAAGTTATGGAAATATCACACGGTTCGGCCCTGAGACTAAGATTGCTGGCGTTGTGTGGGAAAAGTTGAATGTTCAAGTGTTGTTACTAATGCTGAACTCCATCAAGTAAGGCCTACACACCAATTATTAAGATAATCCGTAAACTAATATAGAAAGTTTGTTACTGACTTAGAAGTTGAAGTAATGTAGCTAAGAAAATTTATAGTGAAAGCGGTTGATTAAGAATAACATCAAATTTGTTGCTATATCAATGATGTAAATCACAGTACAGTGTTTTAAATGTGTGTGATTTAGTAGCTTGAAAAAATATGTGCAATAACTTGAATATTAATTAAGAGCGCAGTGTGTTAAGTCTACCTTAATGCAAGTGACTTAGCATTGCAGTGTAGCTAGTCTTTAAATAATGTGAAGGCTTTTGTGTGCGTATTGCTTTTGTGTAAGTATTAAGCTCACTAACCAGAGTCCTTGGTGAGTTACAGGCAGGCATGATAAAGTGTAAACAGGGGTGGTAGTTGGGCCAGTGTTGCAGCTCTTGTACCCACACAACACCTATCTTGTACTCAAGGTGTGGCTGGAGTAGTGTTGCAGCTCTTGTACCTCTCACAGCATCTTTCATCTTGTACTCAAGGTGTGGCTTGAGTAGTGTTGCAGTTCTTGTATTTCACACATTACCTATCATCTTGTACTCAAGGTGTGGCTGGGGTAGTGTTGCGGTTCTTGTATGTCACACAACGCCTATCATCTTGTATTCAAGGTTGAACCAAACCTGAATCTTGTTTATATTTCCCCTAGCTATTTTAAGCATGTCTTGTTGGTAGGCAGCCAGGCCAAGTGACATGCTTGAGTGAGGCCTTGAGTCAAGTGTCTTACTCAAGTGTCTCCTTATGGGAAATGTGTGAGACAAGTGAGTGAACCAAGTTACAACTCAAGAAATATACTCTGAATTGTATTACACTAAGAGACCTTCCGAATGTGATGAAGTACAGGGAAACTTTACATAAAAGTAAGACGTTTTTACATTAAATTCCTCCATTAATTATTACTCATTTTGAAATATAAAATAAGTGCAAAAAACGCCCGTAGAACAATATTTTAAATAAAATAACCAAGAGTAAATTATTTATGCTATAAATGTCGTATAATGAACCTTAAGTGACAAAGAAGTAAATTTTGTAGAAAAGACAAATGTCTGAAACTCCACGAACTGGGTTGTGTTTTATCCTTGTGACAGTGGTAGAGGTAATTAAGAGGTGACACAGCGGAAGACCCGGTGTCTAGCTGTGTGCTGTGTGCGGTCCAACGCTCTGCACATCTCTTTTGCAGCCGCGGGGAGGTGCCAGGACCTGCGGGCGTGTCTGCACTCCCAGCAGGATACTGTTAGAACACTCATTACCTGTTGAAATCACAGCAGCGGCGGTGGTGACCGTTGTGAAGATAACGGCTGTGCTTGACCATTGTGAAGATAGTAACGGTAGTGCTGGCCGTTGTGAAGATAACGACGGTGGTGCTGACCGCTGTGGAGATAACAACGGAGGTGGCGGTGCTGGGCGCACACCAACGTCGTGATGCTGCTGTTCATGGTGCTACCCTCCAGACTCCCCAGCTTTGTACATATCTGCCTTCTTCAGGTGTGTGTGTTCCTGACCCAGTGTTCCTTATACTCAACACCATCTACAAAGCTCACCTTTGCTAGTACACCTTATACTCTACACCATCTACAAAGCTCACCTCTGCTAGTACACCTTATACTCCACACCATCTACAAGCTCACCTTTGCTAGTACACCTTATACTCCACACCATCTACAAAGCTCACCTTTGCTAGTACACCTTATACTCCACACCATCTACAAAGCTCACCTTTGCTAGTACACCTTATACTCCACACCATCTACAAGCTCACCTTTGCTAGTACACCTTATACTCCACACCATCTACAAAGCTCACCTTTGCTAGTACACCTTATACTCCACACCATCTACAAAGCTCACCTCTGCTAGTACACCTTATACTCTACACCATCTACAAAGCTCACCTCTGCTAGTACACCTTATACTCCACACCATCTACAAAGCTCACCTTTGCTAGTACACCTTATACTCTACACCATCTACAAAGCTCACCTCTGCTAGTACACCTTATACTCTACACCATCTACAAAGCTCACCTCTGCTAGTACACCTTATACTCCACACCATCTACAAAGCTCACCTCTGCTAGTACACCTTATACTCTACACCATCTACAAAGCTCACCTCTTGCTAGTACACCTTATACTCTACACCATCTACAAAGCTCACCTCTGCTAGTACACCTTATACTCCACACCATCTACAAAGCTCACCTCTGCTAGTACACCTTATACTCCACACCATCTACAAAGCTCACCTTTGCTAGTACACCTTATACTCCACACCATCTACAAGCTCACCTTTGCTAGTACACCTTATACTCCACACCATCTACAAAGCTCACCTTTGCTAGTACACCTTATACTCCACACCATCTACAAAGCTCACCTCTGCTAGTACACCTTATACTCCACACCATCTACAAGCTCACCTTTGCTAGTACACCTTATACTCCACACCATCTACAAAACTCACCTCTGCTAGTACACCTTATACTCCACACCATCTACAAAGCTCACCTCTGCTAGTACACCTTATACTCCACACCATCTACAAAGCTCACCTCTGCTAGTACACCTTATACTCCACACCATCTACAAACTCACCTCTGCTAGTACACCTTATACTCCACACCATCTACAAAGCTCACCTCTGCTAGTACACCTTATACTCCACACCATCTACAAGCTCACCTCTGCTAGTACACCTATACTCCACACATCTACAAAGCTCACCTCTGCTAGTAAACCTTATACTCCACACCATCTACAAAGCTCACCTCTGCTAGTACACCTTATACTCTACACCATCTACAAAGCTCACCTCTGCTAGTACACCTTATACTCCACACCATCTACAAAGCTCACCTCTGCTAGTACACCTTATACTCTACACCATCTACAAAGCTCACCTCTGCTAGTACACCTTATACTCCACACCATCTACAAAGCTCACCTTTGCTAGTACACCTTATACTCCACACCATCTACAAAGCTCACCTCTGCTAGTACACCTTATACTCTACACCATCTACAAAGCTCACCTCTGCTAGTACACCTTATACTCCACACCATCTACAAAGCTCACCTTTGCTAGTACACCTTATACTCCACACCATCTACAAAGCTCACCTCTGCTAGTACACCTTATACTCTACACCATCTACAAAGCTCACCTCTGCTAGTACACCTTATACTCCACACCATCTACAAAGCTCACCTTTGCTAGTACACCTTATACTCCACACCATCTACAAAGCTCACCTTTGCTAGTACACCTTATACTCCACACCATCTACAAAGCTCACCTTTGCTAGTACACCTTATACTCCACACCATCTACAAAGCTCACCTCTGCTAGTGCACCTTATACTCTACACCATCTACAAAGCTCACCTCTGCTAGTACACCTTATACTCACAACCATCTACAAAGCTCACCTTTGTAGTACACCTTATACTCCACACCATCTACACAAGCTCACCTGTGCTAGTACACCTTATACTCCACACCATCTACAAAGCTCACCTTTGCTAGTAACACCTTATTACTCCACACCATCTACAAAGCTCACCTTTGCTAGTACACCTTATACTCCACACCATCTACAAAGCTCACCTCTGCTAGTACACCTTATACTCTACACCATCTACAAAGCTCACCTCTGCTAGTACACCTTATACTCCACACCATCTACAAAGCTCACCTTTGCTAGTACACCTTATACTCCACACCATCTACAAAGCTCACCTCTGCTAGTAACACCTTATACTCTACACCATCTACAAAGCTCACCTCTGCTAGTACACCTTATACTCCACACCATCTACAAAGCTCACCTTTGCTAGTACACCTTATACTCTACACCATCTACAAACTCACCTTTGCTAGTACACCTTATACTCTACACCATCTACAAGCTCATCTCTCCTAGTACACTTTATCCACGTCATCTACAAGCTCCATTTCTCTCTTATTAATTTCTATCGTTTTTTTAGTCTAGTAAATCTTTGGGTGGGCACATCTGTTGGTTCTAAATTCCTTTTTTTTTTCTTAATTTTCCAGCACCTGCCGCCGCTGAACCATTTCATTTTCTGTATTTTTTTCCACTTTTAGTGAATTATTTGTTTTCATTTCCGTGTAATTATGTCGCAGAAATCGTCGAAAAATGTGATAATGTCTGTCCTTTGTGACGTTTTATTTAATTTTGTTTCACTGGAATAGTGTCTTGGATCTCTCTCTCTCTCTCTCTCTCTCTCTCTCTCTCTCTCTCTCTCTCTCTCTCTCTCTCTCTCTCTCTCTCTTCTCTCTCTCTCTCTCTTCTCCTCTCTCTCTCTCTCTCTCTCTCTCTCTTCTTCTTTCTCTCCTCCCTCCCTCTCTTTCTTTTTTTCTCTTTCTCTTTTGTTTTTTGTAACCTGTTCGATCCTCTTTGTTAATCTATGTTCACTCCCAAGTTGCACATTGCAACATTTTATTTCCAGTAGGCCAAAATAACTTTCTCCTGGTGGGCTAAATTCATTCAGAATAAATTTTTATAGTATTCCAGTAAATAATCTGTCTAACATTGACGGTGTGTTGCCTGCCTTCTCTCACTCGAGTAGCTTCCTTAACGTGCTGCTCTGCGAGAATATGTGAAGCAGGATGTAATTCTTAAACCATTAAACTGTTTCTAATAATATACCTGGTTTTGTTTCCTCATATTCAGTAGTAAAACGTCTTCTTGTGTCTGAACAGACAGGGCTGACGATTTTACCAGTCCCATAGTTTGTTTTAATTTTTAGCTTTGAGAAATTTGGTTAACTGTTTCGTTGCCATTTCATCCTCTAGGCTGATATGGTGACTCATGTATAACAATGTTGAATCATGTATAACAATGTTGAATCATGTATAACAATGTTGTATCATGTATAACAATGTTGTATTATGTATAACAATGTTTAGTCATGTATAACAATGTTGTATCATGTATAACAATGTTGTATCATGTATAACAATGTTGAATCATGTATAACAATGTTGAATCATGTATAACAATGTTGTATCATGTATAACAATGTTGTATTATGTATAACAATGTTTAGTCATGTATAACAATGTTGTATCATGTATAACAATGTTGTATCATGTATAACAATGTTGTATTATGTATAGCAGTGTTGAATTATGTATGGCAATGTTGAATCATCTACAACAATGTTGAATCATCTATAACAATGTTGAATCGTCTATAACAATGGTGAATCATCTATAACAATGGTGAATCATCTATAACAATGTTGAATCATCTATAACAATGGTGAATCGTCTATAACAATGCTGAATCATCTATAACAATGTTGAATCATCTATAACAATGTTGAATCATCTATAACAATGGTGAATCATCTATAACAATGCTAAATCATCTATAACAATGGTGAATCATCTATAACAATGCTGAATCATCTATAACAATGTTGAATCATCTATAACAATGTTGAATCATCTATAACAATGGTGAATCATCTATAACAATGCTAAATCATCTATAACAATGCTGAATCATCTATAACAATGTTGAATCATCTATAACAATGGCGAATCATCTATAACAATGTTGAATCATCTATAACAATGGTGAATCATCTATAACAATGGTGAATCATATATAGGATTTTTTTTTTGTATTTTTGTGTTCACTTTTCACTAAGTTTTCTTAATGTATTGTAGAGTCCGTTATTTGTCTTGTCTAATTCTTCTCTCTGCTATGTGGTTAAGTAACTATAGTTAGGTACCGCCTTTGTCTCACGATAAGAAGACGGAGGATCGAGCTTCCATAAATCAGTGACTGTTTTATACTACGTTCCAGTTGGTAAATATTAAATTTTTCCATACCTTTGATGAATTCCGAGAGTTCTTCTACTTCCGGAGCCCGGCCATGAGCCAGGCTCGTCTGGTGCTTGCCTTGTCAACCAGGCTGTTGCTGTTGATGGTCCGGAGCCCCACATATCCATGACAGCCTGGTTGATCTAGCACCTGGTGAAGATACTTGTCCACTTTCCTTATGTTGTTGTCAGTGACCCACTGAAAGACGTGGTTTATATCAGCTGGGAGATTTGCTGTGTCCTCAGTGGATGTCGTTCTCATGTAAATTCTAGTACCGTCTGCAAAGAATATGTCTCCATCTAAAAAAAAAAGGTCTGGAGTTTTGAGACTCTCTGACCGCGGGTTCAATCCCGCCCGTGGTATGGTTTGTTTGCAATCGTGTCATTACGATTTCGTGAGTCATGTCTCCGTCTATGTCGGATACGAAAATGAGAAAGAAAATTTGGGCGAGAGCAGTACCATGAGGAACGGAGATTTCAATGTGACTGTCACTGATTTCACTTGTTCCCTCTCATACTGTGTTTGGAATCGATTTGTTAGAAAAATCCTGCTTCTGTAGAAGTTTTTTTTTCTTTTTTTTTCCTTTTTTTTTCTTTGTTTCTTTTATTATTAAGTTCGTTTACAGTTTCAGTGCATTTCTGTATTTTGATGGTATTAACTTTCGCAAAGTACTATATCAGAAAGGCTATGATGCCTTTGAGCGATCATCGGGCCATCAACAGCAACAGTCTGATTAAACAGTCGATTAACAAGAATGGTCTCACGCGTGGCTGTGAGAGTATAAAAGTCCTGGCAACTGGTGACAGATATATATGCCAGGCTCTTCTAATATTGTGTAATTAGTGTGTGCTTCCAGCCTGTCAGTCCCTCTTAATAATCACTCTCTCAACATTACCTTCTTACGTTAACTCTGATGTTGAAATTTATTGCTTCTGAGATTTGAGGCTAAACTTGGTAGGGATTTCGGACATATTCATTTTATGGGGTTCCCTTCATGCTGGTGAAGGGCTCTTGATCAAAGAAATTGCAACTGCTTTCCCCTTCCTCGGATCGAGTTTGATTACCTCCCATTCGCCAGGCGCTGTATGACTTACGGTTTTAGCGCTTCCCCACGAATATAATAATTGCTGGTGGCGTGTGTGAGGTTGGGTGAGTGCAGGGCCTGTCATCTTGTGCCAGTCTTAATGTCTTTCCCAGGAGGCACTCAAGGGCGGCACTGTGTGTGTGTCTTCACGGGTAAATATACTTGTTGATATCATGCACTGGTTTCTTCCTCCCTCTGCCGAGTCACCTACTGCTGATATCACACTTACAACCTTCTACCGGAGCGCTGGGGCCATTATTCCTAGACCATATATACATATGTATCCAGCATATTATATAATATTGACATATAATATAATATATATATATATATATATATATATATATATATATATATATATATATATTAATATATATATATATATATATATAATTCTTCTTCAACGTACCAGCCGAATCCCACCGAGGTGGGGTGACATAAAAGGAAAAATGAAAGTTTCTCCTTTCAAATTTAGTAATATATACAGGAGAAAGGTTACTAGCCCTTGCTCCCGGCATTTCAGTCGCCTCTTACGACACGCATGCTTACGGAGGAAGAATTCTGTTCCACTTCCCCATGGAGATAAGAGGAAATAAACAAGAACAAGAACTAGAAAGAAAATAGAAGAAAACCCAGAGGGGTGTGTATATATATGCTTGTACATGTATGTGTAGTGTGACCTAAGTGTAAGTAGAAGTAGCAAGACATACCTGAAATCTTGCATGTTTATGAGACAGACAAAAGACACCAGCAATCCTACCATCATGTAAAACAATTACAGTCTTTCGTTTTACATGATGGTAGGATATATATATATATATATATATATATATATATATATATATATATATATATATATATATATATATATATATATATATATATATTCACATACGTATGCACATATGTCCTAGTCTTCCTTGGATTAAATGTGAATATCTCCTATTTCTCTTTTCTGTGGGCTTATCTCTTGCCATGAATTTAATAATTTACATGAAGGAGTAACGAATGTAACGTATTTGTGTGAAAGGTGAGAAGTCTTGTGAACTTTACCGTCGCGACTGATGTAATGTGAAAGTCACCTGTGTCATCTGATGCTGCAACCTTATTGCTTTGTGACTGCGTCTCCAGTGGTGAGTTTTTACACACACGTTAACACACGGCATCATCGTCAGTCATCGTCATTTTTGTTATCATCGTCATCGTCATCATCAGCAACAGCAGCACTATCATCTTCACTATCATCATAATTATCATCATTATCATAACCACCATAATTATCATTAGTGTTATTATTATCAGTGTTATCATCTTCACAACAAAAATACCCAGTGTTGCATGTTGCACGAAGGGCAATAAGTGGAGGCGTTTAAATATGAAGCAGTAAGAGTGTGTGTTGTTGTGTGCTGTGTTGCAACATGAAGTGGCAACAACGTCTTCATTATTATTATTATTATATATTATTATTATTATTATTATTATTATTATTATTATTATTATTATTATTATTTGAAATGCTAAACCCGTGGCCATTCAGCAGTGGTTAAGGCTCGATCCTCCATGTTCAATCATGTATATATATATATATATATATATATATATATATATATATATATATATATATATATATATATATATATATACATTGTCACGCTACGGTGTATTTATAGCATTTTTTATAATACTACAATGCTAATATCTTCGTTATTAGCTAAAACGAAGGTATTTGATTGTTGTATTATTATCCTATTCATCTCTCGTCACCTTTCTATATTTTAACTATTGAGAAGTTTGTGTATAATATATATATATATATATATATATATATATATATATATATATATATATATATATATATATATATATATATATATATATGTCTTGTTGTTGCACCATTGATATATATATATATATATATATATATATATATATATATATATATATATATATATAAGTATATAACTATCACTAAGTCATTCAAGAGTATTGGTTGTTTGTGGCGTCTGGGTTTAACGCCCACTACTTGACCTGTGGTTCAACTGGGTTTATCTAGGTAGTGTGTCACTTATCTGCAGTGAGAGAAGGTCTAGGTACTCAGAAAGAAAATCTCCTAGCTAGACTTAAGCTACTGTGTAGTGGAGACTAGATCATGGTCGTCTAGTTTAACAAGGAGAAGTCAAAACTTGAGTTGATTACGTCCAGTTACTTCATTCTACTGTATATACCTAGTATCTCTGAGGAGGCACTCGGTTCCTGGTGTACTGTAACTTTAAGGCTGTCCGAGCTAAGTGTTGCTCTATGTCTGTGTTAATTTCATCTATGTTGGATCTGTGTAGAGTATTTGACTTGTACTTGTTATTGTCAATTAATGAGTCTTTTAAATCAGAGATTATATACATGAAAAGTAATGTTCCATGCAACCTTGATAGATACTTTAAGTAGCTCAAACAGTTCATCTTTCATATATATAATATATATATATAATATATATATATATATATATAATAATATATATAATATATATAAATATATATATATATAATATAATATATAATATATACAATAAGATCACAGTAAACAGGTGATTCAGAATATGCAAACAACCAAGTTCCGTTTGGAACTTCTCTATTCTTTCACAGTGGTTGTTTTGCATATATATAAATATATATATATATATATATAATATATATATATATATATATATATATATATATTATATTATATATATATATATATATAAATATATATATAATAAATATATATAAATAATATATATATAAATATATAAATATATATATATATATATATATATATATATATATAATAAATATTGTCGTGCCGAATAATGTAAAACTGGTCAATAGCAAGAACTCATTTAGAATTAAGCCCTTTCTGAAATTTTCTCTTATACGTTAAAGATATTATTTTTTTTTCATTAATGTTAATGTAAAAAATTTTAAATTTTTGCACCAAAAGAATCTTAGAAAACTTACCTAACCTTATTATAACAAGAGAAAATTTATTTTAGCCTAACCCAACAAATATATTTTAAATAGGTTTACAATAATTTAGTACTAAACAAACACAATCATATATAATTTTTTTCGTTAGGTTCAGAATGATTTTGGCGAAATTATTGCATACACAAATTTTCATTTGTCCTATATGCAAGATGAGCGTTGCTATTTAAGCCAAGATCGCAAGTTCTGCCTATTCGCACGACATATATATATATATATATATATAAATATATATATATATATATAATATATATATATATAGATATATATATAATATAAATATATATATATATATATATATATATATATATATATATAATATATATATAAATAATGTATGTATAATATATTCCTTACTTGTAATAAGGTACAAAGACTTCTATATTAAATTAATATCAATTTAACTAGTGTTCGGTCTCCTAGTTTTTATATTATAAAAGATAATAAAAAGGAATTTCATTATACTTAAGTTTTATTACGAGCATGAGAGGGAAGCATTTACTATCTAGAGAAATAAGCTGTTTTCTTTAGAACGTAAAGCCATAGACTACCTCAAGCCCGTAATAATTATATTTTTATTATTACAAGAGGCTGCATAAGTATCGTGTTTTGTACGTGGTGTGTTAATGAATAAACAACAGCATTTAACAGTATTAAATGTATTGTCTTACAGAAGGTTAGAGAGCGCTGCAACAGTGAACATTATCACTTTAAAAACAGTGATCATTGTTCCTTGTGTTGTCAGAATCAGTAACATGTGTCGGGTGTGTTGCAGGAGGGGATGCTGGAGGGTGTGTCGCGTCGTGCCTTCGGAGGGTCGTCGGGGACGTACAACGTGAGAGCCTCGGAACTGGCGCGACACAAGGCCCTCAAGACGCTGCGGGTCCAAGTTGCCCTCCTCGACGACTCCACCCAGGTCTTCGAGATAGAGGTTGGCATCTAACAGACTCCTGTCACCTTACTGTCTCTCGTCGTAATGGCTCTATTACTCTTTCTCCCTGCTTACTGTCTCTCTCTTCCTTATGTCTTCCTTGCTTAATTTCATTTCCCTTATTACTGTATCTTCATGTCTTCCTTGCTTATTTTTATCTCCCTTATTACTGTCTTTCTCTTCCTTGTCTTTCTTACATTCTCCCGCCTCCCTTCTTACTTCTCTTTTCTTTATGTAGCCAGGTTATAAATTATAAAGGTTTATTAGAGTAGGGTAATCTGTCCTGACTTTCTTCATCTGAAGTATCAAGTCCTCTTATAAAGCACTTGATTCAAGTATTCTTCCACGTCGCTTATACTAGATTGTCACACTAATCCTAGATTTAGGTCAGTCAGTCTGACACGTGGTTACATAGATTTATTATCACGATTATAAACTGGCACAGCATAAACTACATCCAACGTCCCTTTACATGTTCTCGTAAGTTTTATCAGCACGATATCACGACTCCGTAGTTTTTTTTATTACACTGGTTGCGACCAGCTGTGTGTAGGTCATCCTGGCACGCTTGGACAGCGCCGTTTTATAATTGTAATTATTTATGATGTATGTGTGACTAAGCCAGGCGTTTGATATACACTATATAGTATTATGCAAAAATCGCGAACAAGGGATATAAGATGTAAAACAACCACGGGAGGAGTTGAATGATAGCTCTAGGCCTTTCGTGTTGCGATCAGTGCATCATCAGGAGATTGCAATGTTGCAGAAAAGAGGAGCAAGAAAGCTTCCTTGCTTGAGCAAAGACGCTTCCTGTGATCGTGTTTGCTTGGACCTCCTCTTTTCTGCGACATTGCAAGCTTCTGATGTGCTGATTGCAGCACATCAGAAGGTTGTTTTGCACTATATAGCATATACATTGAAGCTTGGAAGTGCTTATCACACGCCCCATAATGCATGCACCAACACCTGCCACCACATCTATTCCAACGCTAACAACAATACCTGCCACAACACCCTCCACAATACCTTCATGAAAGATGATAAAACACTTGCTACCACATTTCATCGACGCATGTTAAAACACTTACAACAGCATTTACACCAACACCTACTGCAGCACCTATAATTACACCTGCACCAACACCTGCCACAAGACGTGCTACACCAACACCAGTGAGCTGGTGCAGCCTTGTTTATGACTGCAGGTAATGTTTCATCATATCTGTGGTACTCAGTGTGTTACTGTTCTTGCTTTATGATAACTTACGGAGAAATTCAAGAGTCTATTTGTGTTTACGGGGGTCGATTCTTGGTTCCTTTAATTTTGTTGACTGGCATTACGGGTGTCTGCCCTCTTCACCCATATCATACCTATTCTTAGAACTGTGTTTGGAACTTGTTTCCACTTCCCGGTTATTCAGATTTTTTTTTGTTTCGTAATTATTTTACTTTTATTTTGTTTTCTGTTTGTTCCTCTCTCTCACTGTAGCCTGTGGTAGATTATCTATTTATAAAGAATGAAAAGACACAATACCGTGACTGGAACAGTACACAAATAACTCGCACATAGGAGACTGAAACTTACGATAATGTGACGGTCCGACTTGGACCATTAACTAGTCACACACTGTGTGTATAGATTCGAGTATAGATTATTCGTTCATTCGTGAGTAATCATTATAGCCTCAGGAATCCTGTAGCGCCTTTAGCAGTGGAAGATAATTAGGCGTGATTTAAGTTAGGGAAGGGTAGCTTTAATTCCTTTGATCAGAACCCCTTCACTAGCTTGAAGGTCGCCCTCTCCCAACAAGGGCTGGGCAGGAGGTCATAACGATATATGATAGCGTGTGTTGCTGGGGAAAAGACATTGAGTTGGGTAAGAGTAGCGAGATGATTGTTGGTGATGTTGTTTACTGTGTGGCTCTGACACTTGGCAAGAAACCTGAGAGCCATTACTGTCTGGTACAAGGAGCATTGCACCTGCACTGGGTAATCACAACACTTTATCCTTCATGTTGTGCCTTGCACACGCTCACTCCTACTCTTGTATTACTCTTATTGCTGTTGCAGCGTCGGCTGAGTAGGACTGTCTTCTCGTTTTCTAGCATTCAAGTACTACCTACGAATATAAGAGAAAATATTCCCTGAGCTGAATATCACCTGCATTAGCTTCAGGTGGGAAGGTTTTTACCTCTTGAGTTAATCTTAATTGTAATTACTCAGTGACCAAAGTTAGGGCTTTAACTTTATAGAAGTAGTGTATAATACTCTCTTAGCCGTACCCAGCTGCTTGTGTTTGCAGGGGTTGAGACATACCTCCTGGCCACAATGTCATTGAGTACGGGATGGGACCACTGCATGGAGTGATACCAAAATGGTACCAAGTCACACTGGACACACTAAACGTATCAACATGCAGACTTAATAGATGAATGGCAGAGTACGCACATGTATGGAAAATAGAAACATACTTCGAACATAACCAGTCTTTATTAAGACACATTTTGTTCAGCGAGTTTTATCAGACCATGAAAGTGATGAAGTTCTCGTTGTATTGCCAATGCTGACTTACTTATGTAATAGAAGCAGTGTAACATTAATGAAATCTACCTGCTTAGTAATTTCTGTAACAGGTACCGTGTTACATTAATGGAGTTTACCAGCTTAGTAATTGGACATGTGCTGAGAATGGCTCTCCGTTAAATGAGTAAAGTTAGGTAATGTCTGGCTCGCTATTAGCTGTCAGACATCCTTTTGCTGAATGACCCACGGGTTTATAGCTTCACATAAATATAACAAGAAATGCAAGAACGGCTGCAGAAAAAAAGACTAAAAAGTTATAATCTTAATAAACCTAATCTTAAAACACTTAGTGAATTCACTGATGTATTTATGATGGGCCTCAACTTTAACATAACTAACATTATCATTAACAGCTATCGTTAACCTAGCGTCAAGACTGCCACCTCCAAAACACTCAAACACAACAAGCGAGGCCAAACATAAAGGTTTATTGTCTTCCAGTTTTGCCATTAACCCACCTTGATGCTGTTGAAGGGATCTTTAATTCTTTAATTAGAATTTCCGTTCCTTTATTGCTTCACTGTAGTTTTAGGAAGCAACAGAGACGTCAGCAAACATTGTGTACCAGACTTTTACTTCGTATTACGTTATTATTATAATTACTATTATTATTACTATTATTCTCCATGCCTTGGGAATGGGAGAGAATTAGGTTTGATATCTGGAAGGGGAGAGTGGCTCCAGTTGATTGACTCAAGAGCCCTTCACCAACATCAAGACTTCCTCTTGAAGGGAATGGCTGTCACAGGTGTTGAATCAACATATCCAGGGAGAGGAAGGGGAAAGGAGATACTAGAGAACAGAGGAGAGAGAAGGATGGGAAAATTGGAAGGGAGGAGAGAGAGAGACAGCGAAAGTGTGTGAGAGAAAGAGGGAGGAAGAGGGTGGGACGTATTGTATATAATGTAATAACAAAAGAAAAACTGTGAGGTAAACTGCGCTGAGAATGTGCGTTTCGATCGTAAATAAACGTATTCGTTAAAAACATTTTTAGGCAGAGAGCATAAAATAAGTATAAAGTGTTGTGTTTGAAGATCACAACTACGAGGTCACAGCGGTGTTCCAGTCACAACTACGAGGTCACAGCGGTGTTCCAGTCACAACTACGAGGTCACAGCGGTGTTCCAGTCAAAACTACGAGGTCACAGCGGTGTTCCAGTCACAACTACGAGGTCACAGCGGTATTCCAGTCACAACTACGAAGTCACAGCGGTGTTCCAGTCACAACTACGAGGTCACAGCGGTGTTCCAGTCACAACTACGAGGTCACAACGGTGTTCCAGTCACAACTACGAGGTCACAACGGTGTTCCAGTCACAACTACGAGGTCACAACGGTGTTCCAGTCACAATTACGAGGTCACAACGGTGTTCCAGTCACAACTACGAGGTCACAACGGTGTTCCAGTCACAACTACGAGGTCACAACGATGTTCCAGTCACAACTACGAGGTCACAACGGTGTTCCAGTCACAACTACGAGGTCACAACGGTGTTCCAGTCACAACTACGAGGTCACAACGGTGTTCCAGTCACAGCTACGAGGTCACAACGGTGTTCCAGTCACAACTACGAGGTCACAACGGTGTTCCAGTCACAACGGTGTTCCAGTCACAACTACGAGATCACAACATTGATCATAAGAATGTTAGTCACAACTAAGGATCACAGCAATGTTAAAATCACAACTAGGGGGAAATTAAAGTTTAGATAACAAGAACCTTCAAGACAACAGATGTCAGGACTGATAATCTTTAAGGCACTTGTTCTCCCAGAACTACATTGTCCTGTACACTAACAATCCCATCTTGTGTAAACATAATTGCTGATGGGAAGAGTGTACAGAGAGCTTTCATTGCCTACATCTACTCAGTCAACCATTTTTGTTTATAGGTTTTCAAACTATTTCCTACAAAAGTATGTGAGAAAGTTTTATCGTATTTGAACCATTAAAATACCATAATACGTAGGGAGAAAAAGATGGGTTTAAAGAGTGGTGAGAGAGTACAAATGGAGGGCAAATGAAATAATACAGAATATATATTTGTCAACAAATTTTGGTGAGAATAAGAAATAATTTTTGAGAGATTACAAACGGTTAAGAAAGAAAGAGGGAAGATGTTAATTGGGGGGGGGGGGGTTGCTGGAAAGATTGAGAGAATATTTTGATAAGTTACATATAGTTGGTGCTGCGGCTGTTTCTTCCATTGGAATAGGTATTAATAAGCTCTGGTAGGAGAAAGGAGATCCAGAGGTGCTTGTAGGTGAGACAGACGAGAGATGCTAAAATAGTGGGGGATGGGGGAGGAAGCTTTGTAGTGAAATATAAAGAGGCAAGTCCGTAGAATTAAACAACTTACAGTAGCCTATTGGGCCCTCAATAGTCATAGACTTTCTGTATTATTCTTAATGTTTATTTTTATTGTTAATATTATGAGGAAGTGCTAAGCTTAAGTTTGAATGATACAGTTCCTGGAATAGGAAGTCATGTTTTCCAAAGAAAGGCAATAAGTAGCTGGGTCAAGAGACCTTCACCAGCATAAAGAATTATTGAACCGAGAGAGGCTGATAAGCTGCCATGCTAGTTAGGAAGACTTTATTAGTTTGTGGTTCCTGGCTCTCTCATACCCGTCTTTCCAAGTCATTATATATACATTTGTATTAAGACCTGGATCCAGGCACTCTCTTATCTATCTTTCCAAGTCAGTGTCCTATGTATGTTTGTAATAAGTTTTGCCCGTGGCGTTTTCTTATCAAGCCGGTATGTTTTGCTGCCTCGTCTCAGATGCTGTCTCTGGGAGTAGTTGATATTTCTTAATTGAAATTAATGTTTTTGGGGGGGACGTAAGGTATGTCGCTTAGAGGGACCATCTCCACTCAGCCACAGTCTGTATTACACTGCTTGAAGTGTTTTAGCTACCTCTCTGGGAGACGACCGCTGTTCAAACTATTATTATTGTTACTTATAATTATTATTAATGTTACTATTGTTAGTATTATTATTATTACTATTATTACAAGTATTATTATTATTATTAGTATTATTATGAGGAAACAAATCCCGTAGAGGCCATGCAGCGCCTCGGGAATATGAGGTAATCGCGTTTGAGCCAAGAAAGGGAAGGGCACCAAGAACACGTATAACATTCATACAGGTGAATGGGTCATGAATAAAGGAGGAAGGAAGGGTGGTCAGTCATGATCCAGGCTCAATTTACAATTGTCATTTTCATATTTTTATTTCCAAATGTTTTGGCATAAATCACTCTACCCACAAAGTTCCCATTGTGGTCTTATATTTGGAAAAATAATTATTGGAAGTTTTTAAGAGACTATTCCAACTGGGAATCTTAAAGAAAAATCTTAGCTATTTTAAGGTTACATATACTGTATTTTCGCAGGAATTAAACTAAGATATATTTTTGAGTATATTTTTTTTGTTCGTGGTAGTAACGCCTGATTGGTGATTGGGTGGAGGGTGAAAATATAAGTATTTCCCTGTTTGTGCCCAAGAAGACCTTGGTGAAATCAGTGTTGGTATCGCTTGAGTGAGACAGGTGTTGGTGGAGGTGGTGAGGGAGGGAGTAGCTTCCCCTCCCTTTCTCACAACCTCCTCTACCACCCAACAAAGTCTGAAGGCCTCGCTAAGATTCCAAACTTCTTCACAACAAAAGTTCTAGTACATTTCATAGAAGGTAATCAAGCGTTTTTCTTCTAGACCATTACCATCATTCATGGTTATGTTCATAGAGGTGTGTAGAGAACCACCGGCCACACCTGCCTCTTACAGCTAACACACAACTTGGAAGTGGAAACGAGACATCGTTTCGGGCCATCGTGCACCATTATCAAGTTAGAATAACAGCCTAGGACAGAGTGAAGCGTCTTAATTTTCAATTACAGTTTGTGGGTTAGCTGTGAATTTTTCCAGCTGCGGCATTTTTGTTTATTCATCAATTACATTAGTTGGATATCAAACTTATCCGTGGTCTTTATAGAATTCTGTTATTGTTTTAAAGACGTATCTCAAGAACTTTCGTGTATATTTTACTCTTGTTGCAAGTGTGTGTGTGTGTGTGTGTGTGTGTGTGTGTGTGTGTGTGTGTATAGATAGTAAGCTGATGTCTACCTTATTATCTTTCTTATTACAGAAACGTGCTAAGGGCCAGGCGTTGCTAGACTTGGTCTTTAATCATCTGGAGCTCATCGAGAGAGACTTCTTTGGTCTACAGTACATTGAACCCGCCACCAGCAACGAGAACCCCAGAGTGAGTGTATTAGTGCTTTTGTGACCCTTTGTGTGGCTGCTGGCTATATTGGCTCTCCCTCTATATTCTTGTCTTCTCATTCAACCCGTCTCTATCGCTCATTTCACTCTTAATGTATATTGATGTAGTTACATTTGCATCATATAAAGACATTGTATTCCCACTAGAGCAGAGATAACGCAGAGGGGGATTACTGTGCCTTGTGGGAATTATTCAGCTCCCGAAAATTGTTAAATCAATCATACTATGATAGCTGTGTTAGGTAGCAACTTGTAAGTCTTGTCCTGGACCGGTCAGCGATGGCAGTGACCTCCGAAACTATCAGTAATAAGGTAGTTCCTAAAAATCCTACTACTACATCCTTCTTTGTCATGGTTGTCTAGATAATAGAAGAAGTTTGTTTTATAAGGGTTCTCTTTGAATTCGGAAAGCAAATGTGTCGCCAGCTTGTTAGGCAGTGTTTAGAAAAGGGAGTTAGTCGCTTGTCTCTTTCGCTATTAACTAACGGGATCAGCAGTCTTAAGACACTTAATTTTTCGTCAATCAGCGGCCCAGTCTTAGTCTGGGACTGGGCCGCTGGGACAATGATCACCGGACAATTTACAGCTATTGTAGGGAAACGCACCTGGTACAGAGAAAATGTTTGTTATAGTTACAACTTGGTAAATCTCTAGTCAGTCAAGCACGACGTGGTGAAGCTCTACCCAGAGTTAACCACGACCCGGTAAATCTCTATCCATAGTCAACCATGACTTTAAGCTCTGGCTATAGCTTAACATGGCTTCGTAAAGCTCAAACCGGAGTCAAATATGACTTGATAGTTATACCCAGAGCCAAATATTGTTATTAATAAATGCTCGCTGTGTACCAAGGTATTTCTCGTACCATACTTATTGTACAATCCCTGCGTCCCCTTCCCCCCCCCCTTCAGGCAAACAAATAGTTGAACAGTACCATATATAGGCATTGATGTTAAGCTACCAATTTTCTACCTGGAGGGTGTTCCGGGGTCAACACCCCTGCGGCCCAGTCTTTGACTAGGCCGCCCAGTGGATCAGGGCCTGATCAACCAGTCTGTTGCTACTGGCCGCACGTAATCCAACGTAGGAACTACAGCCCAGCTGGTTGGGTGTATTGGCAAGCCGCAACCCACTGTCATTCTGGTACTAGGTTTGAGGTAATCATTAATGTTGTGTTAGTAAAAGAGTGGCTTCAACTCTTGCAGATCTAACTGAGATGGGCTCCAGTAGCCAGCAAACTCACACGAACTTTGTTTTGAGAAACACCATTGAGGTCACCAACAGCCTGTATAGCCACAAACCGGGAAGCGACTGGCTCTCCTCTCTCCCACGCCCTCCCTGGCTCTCCCACGCCCTCATCCTTCTATTACTGTGTGTCTCCGTGAGAGTGATGCGTCCTCAGCATCACATGATAAGGGGAGCGGGCCTAATCCTATTGTTGGTATGTAGCAGCCTGCTGCACCCATGCCTCGCCTTCCTTCCTTGTAACTTGCTTCGCCCATCCACAACACCCTTTCAAGCAGTCCGAGGCATCTCTCCACTGAGATGCTGTCCCGGACGGTCGTCTGTACACTAGAAAGTTATATGGAAATGACACTTATGTACAGTTCAAAACATTTCTTATAGGAAACACACACACACACACACAATATATTATATATATATATATATATATATATATATATATATATATATATATATATATATATATATATATATATATATATATATATATATATATATTAGTGGTAGGAGTCAGGCGGTAAGCTGCGAGAAGGTAGCTTATCACCTAATAAAGCGATTATTCACTTTACAGCAGTAACCCGGAACCTAACCTGCTGTACAAGAGGGGCACGCCTATACCGTGTCTCATCTTTTCTTCGTACATTTGTGTAGTACTTTATTTATATCTTGCTTCCTGTTTTCTGCCGCTTTTTCTTTCATTTATGGCGGGTGGTCCTACTTCATCCCACAGCCCTGGCAAGTAAGCACGCAAGCTATATTTGGGTTACGACAAGGGTATGTGCACCGAGAGCTGTGCATATGTGTATAAACACTAAGAGTTGACTTTAATCCCTTTTAAGGACCTTTAAGTATTCTTGGCTGGTGGGGTCCATTGTGCTAGTTGACGTGTAGTGCAGCCTCATCGTAATGATCCTCTCCCAGTTAATATGATTTAAAACTAACAAACGAACCAGTCAACTTAATTCAAGTTACATTTGTAATTGTTTTTACAGACTTCTGGTTTAAATTTATACAGTAGTTGCATTAGGGAAAATATTATAACCATGAAAGGTAATAAATTGTGAAGATTTAACGTCACATTACCCGTTAAATGAAAAAAAAAATTATTTTATTTCCACTGGCCTCAATTTCAACCTGACCTAGCCACCCAAATTTATGCATTTTAACAGTTAAATACATGCATTTATACAGAGCTCACCCTCTCTCACTCAATGTTAATACAGCGTAATTGAAATGGTTACAATGAGTCCCTGGGCGTAATTCATTGTGGTTAGGGTGAGGGAGCAGCAAGGTAGTGGCTGGCCGGTCACAGCAACAATATACAAAGGTAAGAACCATGCTGTATTAACTGGCTCTGGCTTTGACTATGACTGGTTCTGACTGAGACTCTGGTTCTAACTGACTCTGATTCTTGTTCTAACTGATTTTTCGTCTGAGGTTAGGGTTTAGCAGCAGTTGCATCTTGCCACGAACCCCCAGTTCAGTCGTGTCGGCGGCACAACCGAACTGATCATCATATAACAGAGACTTCTGTCAGGTGATTTTCCCTGACGAATACAATAACAAATTTATAGAGGCATTAAATTAGCACACGAGGAGCGGTTGAAGTAGACACGTGTGCAACACTTGGGTATCATTTTTTTTATGGAGAATTTTCGCCAACCAGTTGCTTTATTAATCCAATATAGAGAATAATATTGGTAACGGGTTGGGGGTGGGGGGACTTTAAGTTTCTTGATGAATCTGTTACGGACTGTGGAAGGCGTGAAGTAGTTGTTTCAGGTGATCAGTCCCTCATCCTTAGTGAATCAAAGCGTACCACCACCTACTATTTCTTCACATCTTCCACCGTCTTTAATAGATTCATCAAGGTTGAGGGACTGATCACCGGAAACACTTCTCCTGTTTCCTGACAAACCTTTTCTAATCTAATCTTATTCATGATAGTATGTAAAGCATTAATATATAATACACACAAGGAATCACACAACACAACACTTTCTTAACACTCCTAAGCTTTAAAAGTGTACGAAGTATTGGACTGGCGGACGCACACGTGTTTCTCTCTCATACTTATTAATTAAAAGATTCAGCTGTTGTCGGGTAAATGTTTAAAGAAATAATAACTGGCTATTATATATTTTGTCATAAAATAGTGTATACGCTCAGTAAATTATAACACTGCAGACTGGAGATATTATCCCCAGGGGCACAAATTGCATGGGTATAAAAAAAGTATACGGGAGGTCAGCACGCGACGGCTGGGTGGCGGTGTCTCCAGGCAACGAGCGTGCGATTTCCAACCATTGTTTCCACCGCTGCCAGACCTTACCCTCCTTTGTAAGCAATTTGGGCATTGGTTAATATGTAAATATTGGTAATAATTTAACTTCAGGTTAGGTTAAATTAACCTATCCTAGACTAAATAACTTTTATATTGACATCGACTTAGATCGTCCCAAAATTTACGCACTATAACGCGTTAGAGAATATACTTGCTATTTGTAGGAGAGGTTGCTGTGAGAGAGGCTAATATCGTGCAGCATCTAGCATAATAGTTATGTTTATGTCGAGTATATTTGTTCTTTACGAGAAGTTTACGTCACCCCGAGTGTGAACGTGTCCCCTAACTTTGTGCTTCCCAGTTGTGCTCACCAAGTGGCACCAGCTATGTAACACCAGCGGCACATAACATAATGTTACCAATTTGCTATTACTTTAGTTTGTTGAAGTGGGCCTTAGTGTGAAACTGAAATTTACAGTACTCATCTTAGTTTGGGCTTTATTGTATCTGTAAGTTCTTTTGTGCCATAATTTACAAAATAATGCAGAAGTTATTGCGCGAGTTAGAGGAAGAATATGCAGTAGTAACCTCCTTGTTTTGGAAGTACAGTACTTGTTAACATTTATATTGCAAAAGTTTATCTTGAGCAGAACTCGGTGTAGTGCTGTTTACATGAATATAAGTTGAGGATAAAAAAAAAAAAGATGCGTAGACATCTTTATTGGAAATGACTCAAGAAATCGTAATGGCACGATTGCAAACAAACCATACCCCCGGCCGGGATTGAACCCGCGGTCATAGGTCTCAAAACTCCAGCCCGTCGCGTTAGCCACTAGACCAGCTAGCCACATTATTGTGGCTAGCTGGTCTAGTGGCTAACGCGACGGGCTGGAGTTTTGAAGACTCTATGACCGCGGGTTCAATCCCGGCCGGGGGTATGGTTTATTGGAAATGTTTTTGTTGTGGGACTTTGATTACTCCATTTGGAGTCCTGACTGGATTCATTTTGTGTTTCTCTTTCTTGTCGGTATATCTTCGTACCCAGAACAAGCTGATTTATAATTATATGGAAGAAAAAGTTTAGAAAGAGCTTGTAGAAGAGTAAATTTAAGTTGGTGCACCTCTCGGTGTGCTCTTACACCTGCCACCTGTCTCCAGTCTCCCAACACTGCCAAGTTGCGTAATTGAAGACAGTATTATGAATCATGATATAATCATAATCTTTATTTCAACATGATAGTGTTTGTCTAGAGATGGGTGACATTTAGTTGTGCATGCAGAAAGCCCATTGTTATGCAGAGTATTTCGGGCATATATCTTTCAAGTTAGATAAATACACGGGTAAAAATGATTGGGTCTGTCTGTTGTCTACCTGCAGATAGTTTGGTGTATGAAGGATCTTCTCAGCGTCGGTCTGTAGACTGTTTAGTTGATGCTTAAGGCAGCTTTTA